TATATATTCAAGACTTTAAGTGATCGATAACAGAACAGGCTGGAAAAAAGTAAGTGAAACTCTGTGTTATGACTTCTCCAAAAGCCAAAAGTCAAGCTAAGTCAGTTAATGAAACTGGAAGTGTGGGCTGCACAGGTGCCCTGCTCTTTAAATAAAGCTACTGACAAATCTGGTCTTCTTAAAGATGGTTTAGTGTGAACCTTGCCTTGATCCAAATAGCTTAAAATACATCAGAGAGATACACAAAGATGGGAAAGGCTATGGGAAGCATTGCTACAGACCTGGGTGCTCAATAATCCCACAGTAAAAGACCATGTCTACAAATTTACAAATTCTGGACTGTTGCTACAGCAAATTACCCCCTGAAAACTCTTCAATTTGCAGAAGACTTTTTTCATTTGTCTACTATCAGAAAGACGGTGAAGAATGCTGTTCAGTGATGTTCAAGACAAGAAATAGAGAGCCAAAAAAAAATAAAAATTATATATATATATATATATATATATATATATATATATATATACACATATATATACACACACACTATATATATATATATATATATATATATATATATATATACACATACATATACACACACACTGTATACACTACCGCTCAAAGGTTTGGGATCATTAAGACTTGTAATGTTTTTCAAAGAAGTCTCTTCTGCTCATCAAGGCTGCATTTATTTGATCAAAAATACAGAAAAAACTGTAATCTTGCAAAATGTTATTACAATGTAAAATAAAATGGCTGCATTTTAATATCCTTTAAAATATAATTTATTTCTGTGATGCAAAGCTGAATTTCCATCAGCCATTACTCCAGTATAAAGTGTCACATGATTCTTGAGAAATCATTCTAATATGCTGATTTATTATTAGAATAATCAATGTTGGCAACAGTTGTGCTGCCAAATATTTTTTTTGGAAACTGCGATACTTTTTTAGGATTCTGAATAAAAAGTTAAAAAGAACAGCATTTATTCAAAATATAAATATTTTCTAACAATATAAATCTTTGCCATCACTTCTTAATTTAACACATCCTTGCTGAATAACATTTTTTAATTTCTTTCAAAAAAAAGAAAGAATAAAAACGCACTGACCCCAAACTTTTTAACTGTTGTGTATATTGTTAGAAAATATTTACATTTGAAATAAATGCTCTTCTTTTTAACTTTTTATTCATCAAAGAATCCTGAAAAAATTCCAACACTGATAATAAATCAGCATATTATAATGATTTCTTAAGGATCATGTGACACTAAAGACTGGAGTAATGG